ATGAATATGTTCCTTCATTTCTCAGTGAATATAGGCAGTGTATTTTGGTGCATTTTAACAAAACAGATTTATTAAACAGATATATTTATTAAAATAATATTTTAGTTATCAAACATATTTTGAAATTGAAAGAAAATACAATTACATTCAAGCAAAATATTGCAAAAATAAATTAGAACCTACAAATTTTCAACTAAAGTTTTCCAATTTTTTGCTTTTCTTGATTTTTCCTCTTTGTTGATTAATAAAGTCATCTGGAATGGTGAAGAAAGTCTTCCTGCAGGCCTCCCAGAGTTCATCAAGAGTCTTTGTGTTCATCTTCAACACCTCCTCCTTCATCTTATTCCAGACATGCTCAATAATGTTGATGTGTTAATGTTGATGTCTGGTGACTGGGCTGGCCAATCCTGGAGCAGCTTGACCTTCAGGAGCTTTGATGTGGAGGCTGAAGTATGAGCAGGAGCGCTATCCTGCTGGAGAATTGTCCCTCTCTTGTGGTTTGTAATGTAATGGGCAGCACAGATGTCTTGATACCTCAGGCTGTTGATGTTGCAGATCTCTCCATACTAAATGACCCCAAACCATGATGTTTTCTTCACCAAACTTGACTGATTTCTGTGTGAATCTTGGCTCCATGTGTTTTCCAGTGGATCAAATATACAATTATTAGTGTCACAATATAAAACATCTTAATTCCCCTAAAAACATTTTTCAACCAGAATAAAATATAAGAATAATCATTATGAATATATTATGTTGCTTTTTAAACAGAAAGATGCCCTTGAGTGTGTGTGTGTATTTATGATCAGGACACAGATGTGTATAATGTGATGTGTGAAACACGGGTATTATGAGGACATTGCTGATGCCTCCATTTCTAAAATAGCTTGCAAACACACAATGGGTAGAGTTGAGGAGAGAAAATACACTTTTTACAATATAAAAACAATGGAAACCTGTGGAATGTCCTCACGATTCACAAAACAAATCTGTGTGTGTTTCAGACCCGATGCACGGGCCTCGGCAGCTGACGGTGGTGGACATCAAGTCGAAGCAGTTGACGGTGCGCTGGGAGCCGTTCGGATATAACGTGACGCGCTGCTACAGCTATAACCTGACCGTGCAGTACCGCTACAGCAGTAACGGGAAGGAGGATCGGCGAGAGGAGCAGTGTTTCGACCTGCACAGCCCCGCACCGCAGCACACCATCCGAAACCTGCCGCCTTTCACCAACGTCAGCATACGACTGGTGCTGCGGAACAGAGAGGGCGACAAGGACAGCCCGGAGCTCCAGGTGCTCACAGACGAGGACGGTCAGACACCTTTATTATTATATATACATATATACATATAAAAGTACAAGAATAGTTTAAGTAAAGCATGCCATAAGTGACATTTAATATTATAAGTATTATTTTTATTGATATTAGTATTATTTTTATTGATATTAATATTATTTTTATTGATATACGTCTTATGTCTTATTAATAATAATAACACTAAATATGAAATATGTGCATTTTGTACATTTTTAAGTTTGCATTATTGTTTCATTTGGCAGGAGGCTGGATTTTAGGTTTAAATCTTAGATATATATTCCTTTTTTTTACAAATTGTTCTCAATATTGCTTTAAATAATACAAATATATATATATATTTCCTCATTGAGTGTTGCTCTGGTGTGAGGTCATCATTGGTGTTGTTGTGAGGCCTTGGTGTGCGCTGTGTGTTTGTGTGTTTTTCAGACTATACAACAGTTCTCCAGTCAAGGCCTCGTATTGTTTCTGAATCATCTAAACATTGCACATCCAAGACAAGAGTGTGTTATTGAAAATGCATGAGTGTGTGTTTTTGATGGTGTGTGTGTGTGTGTGTTTTCAGTGCCGGGCCCCGTCCCGCAGGACTCCATCCAGGGCAACACGTATGAGGAGAAGATCACATTGAGATGGAGAGAACCACTGCACACATACGGCATCATCAAACAGTATGAGGTGAGAACTACACACACACACACACACACACACACACACACACACACACACACACACACGCATTCATACTCACAAACATACATTTACACACACACACACACACACACACGCACACACACACACACACACACACACACACACACACACACACACACACACACACACACACACACACACGCACACACACATGCATTCAAACTCACAAACATACATTTACACACACACACACACACACACACACACACACACACACGCACACACACATGCATTCATACTCACAAACATACATTTACACACACACACACACGCACACACACACACACACACACACACACACACACACACACACACACACACGCACACACACGCACACACACATGCATTCATACTCACAAACATACATTTACACACACACACACACACACACACACACACACACACACACACACACACACACACACACACACACACAATCACTTGATTTGATGGTGAAATCTCTGCTATGCTGAATATAATCTAAAAATAAAGAGAAATAAAAAAGTAAAGAATAATTAACAGTGTAGGGTGTCACGGAGACTCAGTGGTTAGCACTGTCGCCTCACAGCAAGAAGGTCGCTGGTTTGAGTCTCAGCTGGGTCAGTTGGTGTTTCTGTGTGGAGTTTGCATGTTCTCCCTGTGTTGGTGTGGGTTTCCTCCGGGTGCTCCGGTTTCCCCCACAGTCCAAACACATGCGCTATAGGGGAACTGATCAACTACACTGGCTGTAGTTTATAAATGTGTGTGTGAATTAGTGTGTGAGTGTTTCCCAGTACTGGGTTGCAGCTGGAAGGGCATCTGCTGTGTAAAACATATGGTGGAATAGTTGGCGGTTCATTCCGCTGTGGCAACCCCTTATGAATAAAGGGACTAAGCTGAGGGAGATGAATGAATGACTGAATTGACAGTGTGCTGCGCTGCTTCAGCTGTGTTTATCTGAATATAACGCCACACCCTACATGACTCATCAGCCAATCAGAATCCAGCATTCAGCACACCTGTAGGATATATTATAATGAAGCCTTGATTAATTATTTCTGATGTCCGTAATGTCATTTTCACAGGATTTTGCATGTAAATCAAAGCATAAACATGTTCGCTAAACGCTGAGCGAGGAGCAGTGTGTGAATGTTATTGTGTGTGTTTTTGTGCATAATTGACTCTTCTGGAGTTCTGGAGACTGAACAATAGCGCTCGCAGACTCATTGTTCATCAGTGTGAATTCAGCCCATTAAACTGTCACGTTCATGATCTGAAATTACAATCTGTCACGCGGCGTCTTTAAAGAAGTGTCAGGCCTGTGATCTGTGCAGGGAAAAAGACAAAACACAAGCGTTCTGCCTCATTAAAGCTCTTCATGCTGGAGGAAGACTCTGCTGGAGGTGTGTGTGTGTGTGTGTTTCCCAGTGCATTCTGGGTAAAGACACACAGCACTGTCGTCAGAGCTCCATCAGGAGAAATTGTCCTTCATTTTAAACATAATCCCCAAGTGCTTCGCTCAGATAAGATATATTGCTGTTTGTAGAAAGTACTTGCAGAAGAAGTCAGAATTATTCGCCCTTGTGAATTTTTTTGGGGTGCTTCACATCTGTGGTTTGCTTCATTTGGTCCGGATCAAGGGCAACAGATGATGCATTGTTGCCTTCTCTGCCATTTTTGGGTTGTTTTCACACCACACTGATTGTTTTAGTCCGAACAAGTTGAAAAGAACCAAAATGCAGTCATGTGACAAAACCCACATCACTCATTGGCCAGATGTTATTGAACATATTTCCTAAACTGCTTTTCGATTGGTCAGAATTAACGTGCGGGAAAATGCCAATAAAACTCCTGTATGGAGCAAAATCAATGCCAAAAGTATTGAATTAAAGCTTGTTGAATAGCACGAACTGAAATAACAATACACTGACATCACAAGTGCTCGCATGACTTGAACTGCCAGGGTGTATTTTTGGGTCCTGAAATTTAACATAGCTGTTTATTTAAGCTGTGAATATTTCAACTAAAAATATTTCAAACACATTCCCATACTTATAAATTCAATAATTCATATTCAATTTCCAGATTTCACTTACAAAATATTTGATACTGTTTAAAAATATGATGTATAATATTCACAAGGCAGTTTTCAGTTCATTTTATTTCAGTTCAAAAATTTGCTTCCATAAATTCGACTGTTAAAATTCGACATTGCATCCGGGAACTTGGAACTTGGAAAATCACTTACCAGTTTAATAATGATTTGATCCGCTGTAGTTATTATTATTATCGGCTTATTATGTGGTCCGATCGCCAGTTTGTGGATAGAAAATGTTGACCGTCTTTGGTCTACTCAGTATGGCTGGCTAATAGCCGTCGATGAGCTCTTTCAGAAACTGTAAATATTTTAAAATAGACACTTTTCTTATAAATAAACTGCATTGCTGCAATCTAAACAACTACATTCTCCTCTAAAAAGCATCAAGAGTACATGATGCTGTCTAACAGCAGTAATATTTGTCAGACTGTAGACTGTCCTCTGCCTGTTGCTGAATGAATGTGGGCGGAGTAATACACAAAGGTGAAGGGTGAAGAGGCCTTTGTGTGCTGTTACTGGATTTTAGATTGAAAAAGCCAATAACGACACAAGCGTAGCATGTAATATTAATATCAGTGTCTTGGACGTTGTAAAAAATGATTATGAGTACATTTCCAAGACACTGACATGTCTAGTAAATGCTGCGCTTGTGCCGTTATTGACTTTCTCACCTATTTACTGGTTTAAAAATCTTAAATTGGTGAAAAAGCAATCTGCAATCCACTGCTTTTCCTGCAGTTCCAGGATGTGCTGTCATCGTGGCAAAGATAAAAGAAATCAGTTATTAGAGATGAGTTATTAAAACTATTATGATTAGACATGTGTAAATACTGGGAAGCATTAGAAAAAAAAAGAGTTCACATGTTGTCTTGGTCTGTGTATGCTGTATAGCTGAATAGTGGAGCTGTTGTTGTGTTTAATAGATGTGTGTGTGTGTGTGATGATGTGTTGTGTGTTTGATATTCTGCTGTAGTCTTGATCAGTAAAGCGGTGTCTGGTGTGTCTCTCTCCGCTGATTGAGTTCAGCTCTGCTCCTCTGTGGCCTTAAATTGGACTGAGAATGGAGCGCTGTCCATTAGCAGCTCAATGATTAATTCAGATCAAATCCCCGAGCTGCTTTTCATTAGGCGATATTAGAAAAGCGGAGCGTCTCGCTCATCTCATCTCCAGCTGAACAGAAGCACAGAGAACTCGAGAGAAGCTCCGTTTCTGATCTATTGTTCAAAATATAGGGATGAGTCTTGGACTGCGGGCACTTCTCAGGATGCGTCTCAATCAGCACACTGATAAGTCAAAGTCCTCTGCCAATAAGAATCAAGCATTCAACAGCAAATTAAAATCATTTAACAGACCTTTTTTTTGAGTGTCTATGTGTATGTATGTAGTTTGTGTATGTGTGTGTGCATGTATGTGTAAGGGTAAAATCCTTTTGCATTAAGAACTACTTCCGTCGTTCATTCACATCTGCAGCTGATGTCAGAACAGCAGAAGCCGTTGCTCATTCACCAACGTCACTTTGGAGCTAGTGTTTGAATGACTCTCTAGCGTAATGTCTAAAGTGAAGACAAAGCAGCTGATTTTGCTCACAGTTTAAGATTATAAGGCTGAACGTGACATGAAATGTCATTAGTCTACAGATATCTCTCTACAGTATTCCAGTCTACAGTAATTCTCTGTTGCAATCAGTATATTGTGACGGGTGCCAGGTGCCCAAATGTTTACCTGGAGACTTTTAAGAATTAAAAAAAGGAGACACAAGCTATTTCGCTCTTCCTATTGGCCTTTATGCATTTCTCCCTAGTCCTGTCGACTACACATATGCAAGTCAATGACAATGAGTAGGCAAAAGGAAAAGAAACACATTCCAACATCCGTCGCAAAATAACATGTTACATTATTGAAGTAAAAGAATTTCTTCAACTTCTCAGAGCTCGCTGAAGTGAACAGAGCTGTCATGCATGCGTGCCTACATCTCAAAGGTAAAACAACCAGAAAAGAAGTCTTCTTAAAGGGGACATTAATACACAATGCATATTAAACATTAAGCGACTGTTACAATATCACTACAATTAACCCCGAAAAAAGCAGCGCAATCACTACCAGACTGCTGTTGTGTTTGCGAGAAGGAAAACCGGTAAACACATGCGGGCATTTCATCTTTCTGCCAACACAACACACTTTCCTGATGTGCGAGTCCCATATCTCACAC